TTGCCCAGATATATTTGTGAGTTGCCTCCTTGGGTGGAAAGCAGGGAGACTTGTGCTTTGGCTGTCGCTTGCCGACTGCCACATATAAAGCTGGACTGGTTATATTTATCTGCTGTCTCCTTTCGGTCTAAATAGGTCTAAATATATGGCTTGGACATTTCTTTTTTTATAATACACTATTTTAAGCACTTAGGGAGACCATTTAGACCCTTCATTGTCACAGGGCTGATTGCAGAATGACACTTAGGGACATCCAGGAATTGCAGATGATGTACGAGCCTTGAAATGCCAGCTGAAGAGGCCGTGTTGTCGGGGGACTATGCGTAATTCAAGTACTCGGTGTTTTAAGAAGAAAATGTTAAATACAGTACTGCGTGTTATCAAGATTTCTAATCTAAAATTCATTGTGAAAATCATTCCCATAAAGGTGAACAATAAAATGGGCTTCAAGCAACTTCCACAGATGAAGTAGAATTTTATCAGTCCTTTTACTGGGAAAGTTTTACGTGCCATAGTACATATTAAACTTCAGGATTCTTGGGTAGAATAAGTTGGACTTAGTGAGCAAGTTACATTGTGGGAATACTGACCTTAAACTGTTCGATTCTGGCGTTTTATCGTTACTTCCCTGGTATTGAAGAACAGGTTTAAATTCACATCTCTTGTGCTGCTGCACGTGCAAGTTCTGATGAGCTGAAGGAGTAGAGTTGAACTGAAGGATTGGAACTGAAGGGAGTGTTCACCAGCCAAACTCTGAGCAATTCTGAGGCTGAGTAGACAGGGTAGAAAACACGACAAGGGACGTCAAGCCTTGCAAACCACAGGGGCTCAGTCTCACCGTGGCCAAGTACAGCAAAGGGTGAGAAGTGCCTGGGGCAGATTGTATGCTGCAGGGAGCAGTTCGGTGTTAAACACGTCTCAAGTTGGAGCAGCCAGTGCAGTTTCCAGGGTTTCAGTGTTTCCCTTTTACATGTAAGGCTTAAGGGAGCATTGAGGAGCACTTTATGCTTCATGTTCTCAGTGACCCTGACATACATAAGAAGAAGGTGTTTGTGACTAGGAAGAGCTTGAATTATTGTGAATATCCACCAATATGTAGGAAAGGCTGGTTTTCTTTATAAATGATAGATCTAGGTCAAAGCCAGCCCGTAGCTATGGTTAATACCCTGCATTGCTTGGTACTCAAGGACGTAATGCAAATTTTGGGAGTGTTTTCTTGTTGCAGTTACTGAATTTGCCCTCTGTAAGCAATACTGGGTAACACACGACATCTTCGTCACCTTCTGTAATAACAAAGATTTTATCAGATGGAAAACTGCTTGATTTGGGATTTTGGGTTAGCAGTAGATGAATTGTGTGTATCAGGTAGTTCTTGTCCATTCTGAGCTTCAGTTGCTGGCTTGGATACCTTTCATCGTTTTAAGTGATGTGACAGAGAAAATAAAGGGGAAAAAAAAAAAAGAAATTCTGACAGCTACTCAGGGGCCGAGGCTTTACATTTTGCCTGTAACAAATCTTTGTTTCCATAACTAAGAGCTTCTACTTCAAGGCATGGTGATGTGTGCTGTGTTGGAGTCCAGGTTCACTTTGTGCTTTTACCACAGTGCCTGTTAAATTAGCCTTAATTATTTGACTGACTTGTAAGAACTTGCTTGACTGGAATAAATTAAAAGTTTCAAAGCAGTATGAGTTAATTTTGTGCTTTGTCCAGTTGGTTATCGACCACTGAGTTCTGGCTGGAGTCTCCTGGCATTACTGAAAGATTAAACTTGACCTTTTGAGTTTATTTTCATAAACAAAAAACGATAAAGCTGAGCAGTAATTGTCTCAAAGCAGCACTGAGAGAGAATAACAATGTAAATTATGGGGTGGAGGATAGCTTTAATAAAAACCCCTTGGTGAGTAAAAAAGTACTGCTGAATACTGTCACACTAACTTTAATTATCTTTAGATGTAAGAATCTGTTTTTTCTAGAAAGGAATTTGCTCATTTTATGCAAGTTCATAATTTACATAAACTAGCCCCTGAACACATGCTATTGGGATCCTTAAATTAAAACTGCAAAGCTGCACTGCTGCTTTCAAAATACAACTTTTAGCCATGTTTAACTTCGATGCTAAGATTCCAAAATGTAAAAGTTCTGTCTGATATCTGAGCACCTTGAGCAGGACCCAAATTTAATGCTTTCTGCCATCATTTCTTTTCAGGAATGTAGTGATTTCCAGAGTGCTCCATGGGGAGTGCTGGCTCCAACCCTCAGCCTTTATGAGTACATGTTTTCTTTTACTGCACTGCTGCTTTCAAAATACAACTTTTAGCCATGTTTAACTTCGATGCTAAGATTCCAAAATGTAAAAGTTCTGTCTGATATCTGAGCACCTTGAGCAGGACCCAAATTTAATGCTTTCTGCCATCATTTCTTTTCAGGAATGTAGTGATTTCCAGAGTGCTCCATGGGGAGTGCTGGCCTTTATGAGTACATGCTTTCTTTTAGCTGTACTCAGCTTCTCTTTATCTTTTAAACATGTTTGTTTCTCATTCTTGGTATTTTCCTGGCTTGTTTTTCTGCTGTTAGAGTAGGGAGTCTGTGCTGGTGGCTGGCTGGGCTGCTTCAGTGCTTGCTCGTGGCTGCTTTGCTGTGCCTTGTGCTGAGCAGAACACGGGATGTATCATAGATGGGAGTTGCTGTGATGCCGACAGCTCCTGTCTGTAGCAGCAGCTGCTTGGGGAATGAATAAATGGGGTGCTGGTTTTGGCAGCAAGGCAGGTTTGAAGAACGCCTGGCCCTTCAGTTGAACTGTAGCAGCTTTAATTTTGCTGCTCTGTGAGTCTCTAGACTGCGTGGAGTTTCAGAAAAGTTGTTTGAAGTTCAAAACTCGGCATGTGTTTTTATTAGTATGTATGAAGTTCCAAGTTGTGCCTTTATGGGTGGAGAGACATCTCTGCTATCATGAAATTTTCACGTTAGGGGAGAGGTATGTGTTAAGTTTGCCAGTTCTGTCCTTGAATACTTATGTCCTTGCCACTGCTGTTGCATCTGCCAGCATTTTTGATGTGGCCAGCTAGATCAGATCATCAAGAAACTTTGATTAGAGTTGACTAAATTGTAAAAGTTTACAGCATTGGGCATAAAAACATGCATCTTCTGCTTTGCAGGTCTTTTGCTAACTGGCTTTTACTTTCAGAATTCCTCGAGGTCGGCAAAAAGCAGCCTGCCCTTGATGTTCTCTATGATGTTATGAAAAGTAAGAAACACCGAACATGGCAGAAGATCCACGAGCCGATCATGCTGAAGTACCTGGAGCTCTGCGTGGATCTCCGCAAGAGTCACCTGGCAAAAGAAGGGCTGTACCAGTACAAGAATATCTGCCAGCAGGTATGGCTTTTGCATTATCTTCTTGTTGGTTTGGTTTGAGTTAGGATTAGTCTGCCTTTTAGATGTTGCTGAGTTTGTAGCATTTATGGTTTAAATATTTGTTGCCTGTTGTGGGTGGAAACATCTTCCCATTTTCTGCCTTTGATGTAGGTGAACATCAAATCTTTGGAGGATGTTGTTCGAGCCTATTTAAAATTAGCTGAAGAAAAAACAGAAGCAGCTAAGGAAGAATCCCAGCAGATGGTACTGGACATTGAAGACTTAGATAATATTCAAACACCAGAAAGGTGGGCGGCCTGTCTTTAAAATGTAGCAATTCCCAGCAAAGTATCCTTATTTTCGTGAAGGATGGTGGCAGTTCAGAGAGCTAAGATACAAAGATGGTGGATTTGAAATGGAGTACTAGTAGTGCTCTAGAGGTTCAAAGGGAGGGAAAAGAAGAATTTTTGCATGGAACAGAACCCTAAATCCAAGTAAAGAAAAATAAAGGAAGTGTGTAGTAAAGATTAGCAAATGTAGATACAGTAGGAGCAGTTCTGGGATTGAGTCACTGCTTTCTAGGGTCTGCTCAGATCTGCATCTGTAGTGGTATTGGGGAGTTTATTATTGAAAGCTGCTCGTTATCGGTTGATATATAAATTATATTATTTATATTAAATCAATTTAATTCCTGTGTGAGAGAACCTCCAGTCTGGCTGACCACATTGAGCACGTACAAACAAAAGGAAATGTTACTTAATGTTTACTTGGTTAACTGATGAGATAATAGAAGAAAGTAGCAAAATGATCTTCTCAGCCATAAGTGGAGAATTATAAAAAAATTATAAAATTCTGAGGAGGTGGGTTGAGATTAGCCATCCTAGGTGTGGTCTTAAGAGTAAAGCAATACCTTGCTACTGATTTGGTAAGAATATTGGTTCTTGAATAAAAGGTAGGTTTTCAGAGCATGGAAATTACTCTGAGGTGAAAAGTCAGCTTTGTCTTCGTGTTGGGTGACAGCATAATTTCTATCAGTTTTAAAAATAGCAGCAGATATTTTGGGTAGTAGTGCTCTGCAGATAACCACCTGAGCAGTCAGTGTGTTTCTCATCATCCATTTGTAGGACTAAGTAGTGGTCTGACAGTTGTGGTGTTGTCTCCATCGTAACAACATTCAGGTCTCTTGTAGCAGTTTTGAAAGAAGGAAGTAGTATAGGGACTTCAAAATAACAGCAAGGGCCTCTGGTAGAAGTTGGGAACTCATTGGCTGCAAAAACTGAAGAGGTTACAGACCTGTCTTGAGAATCTGTTCCAGGATGACAGTGCTATTCCTGTTATTTCTAGTGCCTGAAGTAGTCCCTGTGACAGAGGAATCCCACTGATAGGTTTGAAGATTGACTGACAGCTCTTTTCCTTGTTCTCTTTTCTGTAACAGAAGACTAGAAAATGTGTCTTCTCAGTCACACTTCTTTATCTGAAGAACCACAGTTTCTTTAGTGTGTTTTTTTAGGTCCTGTTTTCTAAACTTCTCATACTTTTTGCTGGATTCAGTGTTTGATCTGTTGGAGAAGAAACTGGTGAAATGTCATCTTTAATACTGTATGTAGCACTGGTGCTCAGGGAAGTAAATCAGAGCTGGAAGCAGCGGAGAAGAGAGAATAGTTGAGAGTTTATATTGGAAGCCTAGTTCAAAACAGATTTTAAAGGTGAGGGCTTAGGGAAGCTGATTCTTTCTAAGTTTATCATGCTGAGTGGGCTGTTCAGCAGAAGGGGATTGTGTGGGTCATGGCACAGAATTTGTCTCAGCACCTTGGGAATCCTTTCCTGTCTTGTATTTCTGTGAAAGAGGAACTGCAGTGATGGCCACTAAGTGCCAGATTATCACATCTTACTTCTGACATCTTTAAAGATCTTTTTCATGTCAGAATTTTTAAAGGATTTTAACTAAGGTATTCTAGTTTTTGATGTTTGCAGATCATAAGGCACATGATGTTTGTGTCATATGTCAACAAGAAGTAAGCTCTCTGGCAGCATTGCTGGTGTCTAAGAAGGAAGTTTCAGCAAGCAGGGAAGTATTTGCATAGACAATGATCTAACAGTGGCACTGGGCGTCTTTCCCTGGTAGGACAGGGAAGGGTGAAAATCCTGGAAATTGTTTCCTTTGGCTTACTCTTGTGAAGGATGCAAAAGGTCCTTGTGTCTCTTATCTCTGGAGCTTGTATATCTGAGTCATGTATGCAGGGGTCAAATTTTGAAAGGCAACAGCAAGAAAAGTTAGCTACATCCTTTAAAGCAACAGGGAGATGTATGAGGGACTGGTCTGGAAATAAGCAATAGGCTGTTCAGCAACAATTAGTTGTTCAGATACACCCAATTTCATCTTCTATCTTGATAAGGAAAATTGGTGACTATTGTGGAGAATAAAATACTTTTTTTTTTTTTCCCTTATGCCCCTGCCCCAATTGTAGTGTTCTTTTGAGTGCTGTAAGTGGAGAAGACACTCAGGACCGTACTGACCGACTGCTCTTGACACCCTGGGTTAAATTTCTGTGGGAGTCATACAGACAGTGTTTGGACCTTCTCAGAAATAACTCTCGAGTGGAACGGCTCTACCATGACATTGCACAGCAAGGTAGGTTGAAAAGATGGAAACTTCATGTGTCATTATATCTAGGACTTCTACATGACATACTGTAAATCTAGACAATTAAAGGTTATTTCTATTTGGCTGTTGCTTCTGAGTTGGAGATACGTTAATCTCTTAAGCATACATATGTACACACATACTGTTTTCAAAATTACAGTGGTTCCTTGAAATCACTGAGATCTCTGGACACTGACCTTTTATTGTAACAGAACTTGCAAGGAAAAGAAAGTTACTTGTTTCCTGGGCATACTGAGAATATGAGAATCACTGGTCCTGTGCCTTTTTTTTTTTTCTAACTTATTGGTCAAAATCGGTAGTGTTTTCACTTTGTTGTCCAGGAGGCCAAATGTGTCTTCCATTAATGTGTTCCATGTAATCTAACTTGAAAAACTAGTGTACACAAAAGGGTACTGTAAAATTATGATGCACTGTCAATCTTGACCCAGATGTAACTTAGCAAAGTGTTATGCAGAAGGTAACAGAAAAAAAAATGATTTTTTTGATGATGTAACTTAGCAAAGTGTTATGCAGAGGGTAACAGGAAAAAAAAAAAATGATTTTTTTGACATTATTCTGCAAAAATTGACTTTATGAGAATGAAGACTTCCATGTTGATCTTTTCTTAAGGGTAAGAGATGAGTGGAAAAATGTTTTCTTTGATAAGTATAACTTAAGGCTCTGTATTTTTGGAGTATTTCAGATTTTGAACTCTGGGTTCAAATTATGCAAGTACCTTAGGAAAGGTGCCTGTCAGTTGAGTTGTAGATGTTTTAGTGTGTTTAAGTCTGTGCTACAGTGTCAAGACTTCCTTCTTTGCCTGTTTCTGGTAGAGATACTTTACAGTTTGCAGTGACACTGGCAAAGCAAAACCAGATTTTTTTTGAGAGGAACTATGGGATCAAAGAAAATTTTTTTTTTTGGTGTCATTTCCCATCATTTGAAAGCTTCATTTAACTTTATGATATTCAGATGACTTGAGGATTTTCTCCCACGTTTTACAAAGCCAAAACCTGAATTTATGCCATTAACAGAATTTTATTTGCACTTTGTTCAAAATAAATTCTGCAATCACTGCTTAAATTAGATAATTTTTAGAGACTCAGAGTATTCCCTTTGCTGCTTAAGCTTAATTATCTAGAAGCGTCTCCATCTTTTGAGGTCAAGATGGAAGTGCTCTGCATTGTCACTTATTATGTGTGACAGATTGCATCTTGTTTGATATGTCTTTGGAATGTGAATGAAGGTTCTTTAAACGTACTGGCTGATATGGTTGAGTCCCATTTAGAGCATTCCTAACTGGCGTGGTTCATTTTTTGCAGCTTTTAAGTTCTGCCTGCAGTACACGCGGAAGGCCGAGTTCCGTAAGCTCTGCGACAACCTGCGGATGCACTTGGGGCAGATCCAGCGTCACCACAACCAAAGCACAGCCATCAACCTCAACAACCCTGACAGCCAGTCCATGCACCTGGAGACCAGGCTCGTGCAGCTCGACAGTGCCATCAGCATGGAGCTGTGGCAGGTACGTGGCGGGGCTCCCCGGGGGGCACTCTGGGCCCACCGCCCTCCCAGAATCTGCTCCACGCAGATCTCGGTGTGTGGAGAGCTTAGCCACAGACTGGCTGGCAGCAAAGGGACATGATAAAGTGCAGCTGGTTGAAGTTTAGTAAAACAAACTTCAGGTCAAGATAACCTGGGGTGCAGCTGTTATGGGATAATGGGATGAGTAAAAGGAATTGGAATGCTAAGATAAGGAAACTGCTGACTGCAAGGCTGAACACAAAAAATAGCATGGGAAGGAGTTGACATGTAATCTCTAACCAATGCTGAGCTTCGCTTTTGCAATATGTATTAGCTAATTAAAATATGTATGAGATAATTAAGAACAGTATAAAGGATGCTTCTTAATTTCCAATAAACGAGGCTTTCCGATCATCATAGGATGGTGTCTGTCTCCCGCTTATTCTCCGTCATCGGTGTGTCCTGGTGTGTGCTCCGAGGTAAAGGCAGGGTAGTGGCTGGAGAGTAGCTGAAGTTTCAGGATGTGGAATGTGGTACTACAAGCATATGCTTAGTCTCCTGTTCCTGGAGAGTGTCTCAGACCAAGCTGCCTTTGGCAGTAGTGAATGGTAAAGTAGCTGAAGTCGCCTTGAATTGTGCAAGGCAGAAGTTGATGATGGAGACAATCTTTTTAACAGGGCTTGTTGTGACGAGTCAAGGGCTGATGGTTTTAAACTAAAAGAGGGGAGATTTAGACTAGATAGAAGGAAGAAATTGTTTACAATGTGGGTGGTGCAACACTGGCACAGATTGGTGGTAGAAGCTCCATCCCTGGAAACATTCCAGGTGAGGTTGAATGGGGCTCCGAGTGACCTGCTCTAGCTGTAGATGTCCCTGCTCAGTGCAGAGGAGTTGGACTAGATGACCATTAAAGGTTCCTTCCAACCCAAACCATTCTGTGATGACACCCTCACCTCTGCCATCTTGCATTCTCAGAAGATAGATCACTGGGAGGTGGTTGAAGCCTGCTATTAGGCTGGGGCCCCAGCACTGATGGTTGCATTATGTTAGTGTCTAGCCAGTGAGAGCAGTATCAAAGCAAATATTTCAAAGAGGTGCTTTGCTTTTCCAACCTTTCTAATGTCAAATTCTTTGAAAAGTCATGGTTGTAATTTTTGGCTCTTGTGAATTTGGAGAATGTTCTGTGTTGTGTTAGGTATGTAAGAGGCATTTCCAATATGATATTTATTTTTAGGGAAACTACTAATTTTTGATGACTAAAATTATTTTTGTGAAAAATACTAAAACCAGTAAATAGTAGATTGGGTATAATAGTAAAATAGTAGAACTTCTGTTATTCTGGTTTGTTTTATTTTTCCCCTTTGTAGCTTGAAGATCTGAAAGAAACCAGTTTGCAAAAAAATTTAATTAGTCATTAACTACCAACTTATAAGCAGTTAGTTAATGGATGTGCAGTATATCTGAATAATGTCTTTATTAGGGAAGAATTATTTCATGTAGCTGGTGAAACTGAAGATGACAGCTCTCAGTGATAATAAATATAGTTTTACAACATTAATGAATGTTTATTTTTCCGTTTTTGGGGGCATTGATAAAGTTTTATTTTCTTAACTTGTGTATTTTAATTTTTTTTTTTTTTTAGGAAGCTTTCAAAGCAGTGGAGGATATCCACGGGCTATTTGCACTGTCTAAGAAACCACCCAAACCACAACTGATGGCAAATTATTATCACAAAGTTTCAACTGTCTTCTGGAAGTCAGGAAATGCTCTTTTTCATGCGTCCACACTTCACCGACTTTACCACTTATCGAGGGAAATGAGAAAGAATCTCACACAAGAGGAGATGCAGAGGTGGGGAAGGATATTTCATATGATCTTACATTCTATTTTTAAACCTAGAGGTTGAAAAATAACCTAAATTGTACACCAAAAGTGGCAGATGATATGTATGGCTATCTGCTGCTCTGCTTAAAGTGCCTAACTAAAGTTACTAACTGCCTTAAAAGAAACCTAGAGCAAGAAGAGTATTCTGCAAAGCTACAGTGCAAATAATGTAAACACCAGCTCACCTTGGTGGAGCTTCCTTTTCTGTTACTGACTGAGAAGCTAAGCAAGTCAGTATCTGTGCTTTGCTTCCTTTTTCTCTCCTGAGTGGTAGGATTTCCTTCACAGGATTTCATTGTAACTATTATAAACTTTTCCTTTGTATATAAAAGTATACAGCCTAATGGCCTTTAATATTTTTGGTAATTGTTATGATAGTGGCAAGGCTTTGAGGCATGCAGAGTCATTGGCTGCATGAACATCTTAAGTTCATGTACAGTTTATCAATTCAGAATTTGGTGGGAATAAACACTCTGTGGAGACTTTTACACCCCTGTTCATCTGGGTGCTGAGGTAAAAACAAATATTTATTGTTTGTGTTATGACATCAAAAGGTAAATCTGCCTTACACAGTAAATGTTCAAAAACGATTGGTATGGATTTGTTGCTGAAATGAGTTTGAAAAGGTGCTGGTTTCCCTATTTCATAGGATTTTGATATTTACAGAGGCATCTGAAATTTGTGAGCATTTCTTTCTGTGTGTGTATCCACGTGCACACATGTAAGTAACGGAAGGATGTTGTCAGATCCTTTTCCCTGCTCACTGAAGGGTGCTGCGTCCTGTACTCCGGCCTCTTCGGTTACTGACGGTATTTTCACACAGCTTTTGATCATGAATGCCACTCATTCCTACTCCTGAATTGACATGGGTATAAAAAGGAATTAGCTAGCATTCCCTTGCAGTTCATCTGTTGTGGTTACACCTTGTCAACAGGATGTCTACCCGAGTCCTTCTGGCCACTCTGTCAATCCCTATAACTCCTGAGAGAACGGACATTGCTCGCCTCCTGGACATGGACGGCATCATCGTGGAGAAGCAGCGGCGTCTGGCAACCCTCCTGGGCCTCCAGGCCCCACCTACACGTGGCAGCCTCATTAATGATATGGTGAGTAGTGGTGTTCAGAGGAGCAGCTCTTGAACACTGACTCCTCTTCTGGACAGTTTTCCTTCTAGCGCACTGTGCTGCGTTGTGGAACAGCCGTTTGAAAGTTAAACCAGCTTTGTGGTTAATTGCATGACTTAGGGTTTAGTGTTAAAATTTCAGATTCACAACACGTGAAAATGTTTGGAAATGGGAGCTAGAACTTTGTTTTTCTTTTTTCCTCTACTCTAAGGTGTGTGATTAACTGAAAGAAATGTTTATTTTTCTGTTTTAAATGTATTTTGGATAAGTACTGATCAGATACCAAATAGTGGACCGTAGGGACCTGAGTGATTATAAAAACTTCCTTGTCTTTAATTTGAAGGGAGGCTTCAGACTGTCCCAGGAATTTTTAAATAAATCAGGCATTCAATCATAGTTGGATTCTTTCAGAGGATGTTTGAATTTCTTGCAGTTGTTTGCATGTGTGCCTAAAATTTACATTCAAGTTTCATTTTAAAGCCTGAGTAAATTCTTCTTCTGGTATCTCTCTAGTTTGCCTTAAACTCACAATTTGTAAAGCTTCAGAAGTTTACTGATGAACTGAGATGTGTGGTTTTAGCTTGGATGTAGGCCTACATCTGAGCAGTAGGACTTGTGTCTTAGAAATTACTAGTAAGTTGAGGATGGAGCTCTTAATCTAAATATTTTTCTTATTTGTATGTTTTTTGTCTACTTTTCCATTTTTAAATACAAACAGTTAAGTGGTACAGCATAGAGTTACTGTCACTGCATTTAAGAATGCTCTAATAAATAAGTAGCCTTCTGTATTCGAAGGTATTCGTGCCTATTTAACTTCTTGAATATAAAATTCTTAAAGCATAACTGTTTGTTAATATTGTATTTATTTTGAGATCTTTGGGTTTTTTTGTTGACTGTAGGTAAGGTTCAACGTGGTGCAATATGTTGTTCCAGAAGTGAAAGAACTTTACAATTGGCTTGAAGTCGACTTTCACCCACTCAAGTTATGTAGCCGGGTCAGCAAGGTAAGTTTGGTAGTGCTGTGGCTGTAGCAATGGGTCTTGACTAATATTCTATTTACAAATTAGCCTTTTCTGTTGCTAGAATTTTCACTAGTTTCCTTTATTTGGTTGAATTCCATTACAGTGACGTGTGTGTAACATCTGATACACATAGCACACCAGGTTATTGGAACAGAATAAAAATGAATGCAGTCTCTGGGGTGCTGTTCAGAGGGGCCTGAGGTGTACAATTTTAGGAATGCATCAGAAGGTTGTGTGGGTGGAGATGGTACTCAGTTAAATTTTATTTTAAAATGTAGGAATGAGAAGACTGCATGCAGGTGTATGTATGCATGCAAGTGGGTTGTGTGGGACCTGGAAAAAAATACACCCATGACTGTTTTTGCTATTAAAATGTAGAGTATTGGGAGATAAAATAACATGAGAGCTGTTGATTAATATAAGTTCTGCAATCAGTGAAGCACATCATGTTCTTTTTCTTTGATAGTGGGAACAAAGTTATTTGAGGTGCTAAAAAGAACCTGAAGGTAAATTAACAGTGTGGTAAATGTTGCCAGTACTGTCAGTCGCCTTCATACAAAAAAAAAGTCATTTACCCTTTATAAAAGTGCTCTGATCAAAAGATACACTCCAGTAAAACAGTGCAGTATTTGGACAGAAGTGCTGCTTCATGAGCAGTACACCAGAAGTATTTAAGAGCCATACTTTGTACTTTAATGTTGAATTTTTTTAAGGGTTGATGCAGACAAAGTAACTTTTCAGAATTTTGATAGGTTCTGAACTGGGTGAAAGACCAAGCTGAAAAAGAACCTGAACTGCAGCTGTATGTTCCTCACCTGCAAAACAACACCATTCTTCGCCTTCTGCAGCAGGTATGAGTAAAGGAAATGTATCTTCACAAGCACACGGAAGTTAGAAAATGCTTTGGAAGAATATTAAGTTTCACTGGTTCTTAGAAGAGTTTTTGGAGTAAGGTTTGGGTGAAATGTTTGGTGTTTTGTTTAGATGTTCTGTACAATGCACATTTCATTGACCTGCTTTCCTTGGAAGTGATGAGCAGTGTTATTTCTGATGTGCTAAAGAACTAGCTGAAGGCTAATTAGCAGCATAGCTGTATGTAGTTACTGCTGCCAGTCTCCTTCATACAAAGAAACTGTTCAGGGATGGTGCTTAGTCTGAGATTAAGTTTAAATACAGTACAGAAATAAAATCCTGAAAGAGTATTTACAGTGGTATTAATATGAATACATTCATTTGCTGACAATATTTGGTAAGTTAGCGTTACAGCCCATACAACATCTTTTATTCATGATCTCTTTTTAAAGAGGAAGAGTACCTGATGTTTCTCTTCATACACAGGTGGCTCAGATTTATCAAAGCATTGAATTTTCTCGTCTGTCTACCCTGGTTCCTTTTGTTGATGCTTTCCAGCTGGAACGCTGCATTGTTGATGCAGCCAGACACTGCGACTTACAGGTGAGTTCTGTAAAAAGACTGCTGTGAGATGATGGATGGATTTGTGTGTATGGATTCACTGGATGAAAGCAAACTGGTCGACATGAAACCCAAGGAAGACTGTTGATTTTGATGGAGATGAACTAGAATAAAAGATTCTTGTGACAGTGTATTAAGAACTGACAGTTATTTGCATAAGGGTGTGTATTTTTTATTTAGGTCAAGAACCATTATTAGAAGTCTAGTAGAAGTAAAAGTTGAAGTAAAATTTGCTGAAACTTGCCCTGCATGCTCTGTCATTTAGTCCAGCTTACCCTGAAGCAAGTCTTACAAACAGGGATGCAAATTTCCGACTGTGCTGGGTTAGTTGTGCAAGACTGAAGAGCTAAGCAGTCACTGATGTTGGGTTTTGTCTAACCAAATGACTGAAGTAAAACACCAATGTCTGAAGTATGCACCAAGTCTTGAGATGTTTCATCTGCTGATGGCGAATATGAAGTTCTTGGTGAGATTGCCTGTATTGAAAGAATGGCAGCCTGTAATGAGATGTTTAAGCTGGTGATGAGATACAGGGAGTTTAGTTGAGGTCACATAGTAGTTAGCCATTTAGGCTTTTAGCTGAGATTGCCTAGTAGGTATCCATTTCAGTTTTTAGATAAAGCTGAGTTAACTCATTTAGGTTAACACATAACTGTAGCTTATTTTAGGTACATTGAAGTTGTGTGCTTTAAATTCAGGATTCTTGTTTTGTGTATTGCTGGTGTGGAGGAAGAGGCAAGAATGATTTGTCTTGCACTGCTCATCTCATAGAAAGTTTAAACTAATTTCGGCTTGAAGCCTTCTGTTGACTTGTTTTGGTCATAGGCAGAGCAACTGAGAAATGGTGTAAATACGATCTGTTTTCTTCTCACTCTTTTTTTGCCAAGGTTCGCCTTGATCATACTACCCGGACACTGAGTTTTGGCTCAGATTTGAATTACAGTACTAGAGAGGATGCTCCACTAGGCCCTCAGCTACAAAGCATGCCCTCTGAGCAAATCAGAAATCAATTGACTGCCATGTCCTCAGCTCTGGCTAAGGCTCTGGCCGTCATTAAGCCTCCTCACTTACTGGTAAGTCATTCCAAGTCTCCTGAGAATATTGGCAAATTATTTTGTTATTTTTTTGGCCTTTTGTTGCTTTTTTTACTTGTCTGATCAACTGGCCCTGCCAGTAATCTGCTCTCAGTGTAATGCTAATCAATATTGTTACTGCTGTTCCTTCCCTTCAGAAAAAATAATTGATCCTTGGGGTGTAAATATATACATATAATACATATATATAATACATAACAATACATTAATTTATTTATTAGTGGTAAAGTTTCCTTCTGCATCTGTTACATGCTCACCTGTTAAAATAGAGCTAAACTTTCTGGTTTAGGCTGACAAGCCTGTTTAGAAGTTGTGAGATCATACTTGAAAGAGTTATTTGGTTTATCATTCCTTGACATAGGAAAGGCAGTGAGCTGTCTGATGGTTAATTTGACATGGCATTGCAAGGATTTCAGTAGGTAGCAATGGGTGCTATTGTACATTTATTTTCAGAAGTGTGCTGCTCTTTTTCAGAGCATTGTAACAAATCTGATCTAGTTGGACATTAGTGATGGGCTGCATTTATTTATTTGTAGATTAAGTGTCGGGAAGGAGCTCCGGAGAAAAGATGCAAACTCCAAGGGGTCTGCAGTCAAATCCGTTCATTGCAAAGCATTACAGCCTTTTATAGTAGACAAGAG